CGGGCCTGTACCAGGCGCCACACAGTAAGTCCCACCACATTTCAGAGCTGTGAAATTAACTAATATCACCACCCATGCCCACCGGCAGACGTACAAGACGCGGAAGAATGTCATTGCAAGGACGATCGAGATGAAGCAGCAGTCCGGGGAGAACGACGTCGACTACTGGGTGTACCTGGACAAGGTATTCTCTACACTTGGGCCGGACGGGACAAGCTCCGATGAATCCGATTCAGAGGGGGGCGGATTTCGCGTCAAAGCTATGCCATGGAGAAGGAATATAGATGCTGAGATCAAGATCGTCGAGTCTCAACGTAGCGCCGAAGGTATCAAGGACAATCGCGGCTCCGAGCCCAAGCCTCGCTTTCGAGGCCCTCCTTGTAAGGACTCAACCAGGAAGAAAGCGCCTCAACACCTTCCTCCTAGTTTCTACAATGCGGATTGGCTGAATGATCCAAAGGTGGGTGCTGCACGCCGAGAGCTGGTACAGCCGTCGAAGGAGGACTTCTCTTGGATGATGTTAGCGATGACTTAGATATACTTGAAGCCAATACATAATTTCTCTTCTCGTCTTCTCCCCTTTGCCTCCAACTTGTGAAGCTAGCAACCCCCTCTGTATGATGCGGCTTCGCATTTGTGGACGATTAAGTGTGCCCATGGTGGTCGCGTCACGTGGCCGTGCATGCACATGGCTTGCCACTCGCGGTAGCTCTGTCCCTTTCTCTTTGTCCTTCAGCGGCGCCGCTCACCCCCCACTCAGTCTTACTGTGGTATCACGGTAACACTGCTGTTTCGCGGTGCAACTCAAGCATACTCCGTCCAGGTGTGGTCTTACTGTGGTAAACACGGTAACACTACTGCCTTTTGCACGCAAGTCTTGCATTGGTGACCGGCGCCGCCATCTACTTTCAGCAGTTGCGCGGCAGCAATACCGCTTGTACTCACGTATCTAATCATGCCTGGTGCGACCAAACTCTACCGATGTCAGTGCAGTGCGTGCATCAGGTCCGATCCATCTGGAAGGATGATCTCCAAAGAGGATCTTCGTGCTCATCAAGCCAGGGACGCTGTCCTCAACCAGCCACGGCTTGAATTGCGGGATAAGCAGCAGCGATTGACTTGTACCTGTCCCGATTGCGTTAAGGCGGGGCCTATGGGGGTTTCGCGTTCGGCGGAGGCGCATAGACTCCATGTACTCTCCAATGCGCTCTTGCCACTCACTGCTCAGAAGCCTGGGCCAAATCCAAGTGTTCCCGCGGCTTCTGCTGCATCAGGTGGCCAAGCGTCATCCGACGTCTCACCGGCAGCCGGCACTGACCAGCTGAGCTCCGCAATTGTCTTGTCCACACTGATTGATGTCGATATCACCGTGGACGAAATACCTCCTGTGGATGCAATTGCGCAGGAGCTTGTCAATCAGCTGTCGGAGCTTGACCTTGGACCTCCCGACACTATGGAAGGTCAAATCCCTTCATCGGCGCCATCGACATCAACCCGTTTTCTAAGTACCGCAGCTCGAGGGACCACTCAGATGGGCACAGGTCTCGGTGATACTGTATCTATGTTTGTTGAGGAAAGTGGAAGAGATGACCAGGTCCTGGCAGAAAACGCAGCTAGACCAGGGCCAAGTACATGCCTCCAAAGTATGAATACGGGTGCAGACGCCACTCCGCCCAGTGTCCAGTCACCTGGTAGCGTCCGAGTGGACATTGAAAGGCATCTCCCAGATGCGAATAGCTCTATTCATATGCTCTCCAAGGAAGAGCGGCATATCAACACCACTCGGGCCTTATCCCAGTTGGACTCTGTACGAACCGACATTGAGGAGAGCCTGCAGCGCCTTACCACTGGCGTATCTCCAGATACAATAAGGGAAGTGCAAGACTGTCTAGGACGTCTGCGCCGCCGCTTCAATGCTATTACTCGTCGGACACCACGCATCCTCGAGAGAAAGGCAGAACTGTGTGAGCAGCTGAAGCTTTTGGATGGCCGATTACTGGAGCTCGAGGCATTAGTGCCAGAAAGCACCGATCCGATCGCTTATAACTGTGGTATGTTTCTCATAATGCTCGTTCAGGTAAAGCATAAGCTGACGATTACATTGCTTGAAGATGACCATCATGAACGCCCAATTGATCAGTATAGTGCTGTAGCCCAGGTTTCGATGTTCCTGGTCACTGTCTGCACCGTTATTGTGGGCGTGAACCGGTCAGCAGGAGCCTTTATGCTAGCTACCATATCGACTATCTTGACTTTAGCATTCACTCTGCATGGGCGTCAGCTTAAGCAGGACCAGGAGCGCGTGCTGGCAGACATACCAAGCACAGTGGATACCGTGTTATCAAAATTCAAGCTAGATGGACGTGTAACAACCTACGCGACATGCTCAGAGTGCCATGCCATATATGCGCCTCATTATGAGGAAGGATCTGCTGACGCAGTATACCCGGCTATCTGTACCAGCAAAACGCTTGGGTCTGACCAGATTTGTGGGGCTCCATTGACAGAGACGGACAACACTGGCGGGGACCGCTCAATGAAGCCGCTTAGGTCGTTCGTAATGCACAACTATGAAGACTACATGGCGGGGCTTCTGGCAAGACACGATATTGAATCATTGATGGATAAGGCATGTGATGATGCTCTTGCATCCCTTGACCGCCCCCGACCGGAGTTTATACGAAGTCCTTTCGAGGCCGACTTCATCAGAACCTTCGAAGGTCCTACATCTTCTGCAGATGAGAAGCAACTTGTTTATCGATCG